GCTCGTGTTCTGCACTGCCCTTAGGGGCTTGACTGAGACCTGTTGTGTCTTACATTTGTCATCTTTTATTTGTATCTTAAAGCCAAGAGTAACTGCACTGTTTATTTATGGGGGGGGGGGAGGAGAGAAGCACATATAAGGCAAAAAATAAAGTGATCCTTTGTGATACACCACAGTCTCCAAGTGTTTACTGAAACCCACCAAAGGCTAATACCTGAAGCGCTTGGCGCACCTACGGCTCTTGCACTGAGTGTGTGGTATACCCAGAACGCTACCAAACACCTCAGGGACTGGTGTGTCACAGCATTCAGCATGACTCCTTTCGTTGGTGTCCATTACAGTATGTTTGTTGCCATATTAATTGATTTGCTGCTGCTTCGCAAGAGTCCTCTTGCTGCAAACATTTCCGTAACTTCACCAAATAATTACTGCCATAACTCCCATCAAATAATTACGGACTTTGAAGGCCACACTTTCAAGGGGCCCTCCACCTGGGCTCTAACACTGGAGTCACTCATTCTCTGCCTGTGGAGTTTCCACCCATCTGATCTCCTTTCATCACTGCATTCAAATGAGCACAAAAAGGACATTTTTTGGAAGGAGGAAATGACGCAGACTGGGGACTAAGTGGGAGGAAGTCAGCAGAAAGCAGTGTGGAAAATACCATTTTCAGCCAAAGTGCCAATGTACCAAGGGACAGTCCTGCAATGGAGAAACCACGAACATCCTGTCTTGCTTACCAAATACACCATCTTCAAGTTGGTTTCTCTAGTACTCCTTCTCCACTTCACACAGGTTTGATTAAATATAGACACATTTCCAATGGCTGCCTTCACTGTAGGAGGAGGAGGGAAAATGAAAGTCACGCTAGATAAACTGAAAAGATATAGAAATAACAAATAACCAAAGTTAACATACACTACATTTGGAACCTCAGCACATTAATTGCCAGTGGTGTGTACTGAGGACGTGGGAAACTAGCTCAGAAATATAAGTATTTGGATAAAGAAAATCTCATCAAGAGTTGTAAGCACAGGGAAAAAAAGCAGGCTAGAAAAAGAAAAAGTTAAGTGAAATCAATCTCTGATAATCTACATAGAAAACCAAGGGATAAAAAGAACCATTAATGCAATTCACATTAATCAAGACATGTATTTAGGGCTAATATGTTCTTCCCCCATCCCTAGTGATGCATAGCCCTGAAACTGAGAGGTTGAGGGAGAAAAAGGTCCCATCCTAAACTCAGATTAGATCTTTGCATGGGGATGCTGTGAAGGCCAAAAGGAGAACTAGGTTAAAAAAAAAAAAAAAAGGAAGTTCATGTAGGCTAGGTCCATCAATGGCTATTAGTCAAGATGGTCAGGGAAACAACCCCATGCACTGAATGTCCCTAAGCCTCTGACTTCCAGATGCTGGGACTGGATTACAGGGAATGGATCACTCAAATTGCCCTGTTCTGTTCATTCCCTCTGAAACATCTGGAATCAGCCACTGTTAGAAGACAGGATACTGAGCTAGACAGACCACTGGTCTGACCTAGTATGGTCATTCTTAAGTTATGTTATAATTGAACCACACTTCGCTTAGGTCATCCAGCACTAAGTTCCACAGGTTAGTTATCCACTGTGTATCAAAGTGTTTCCTTTTAATTGTTTGCTGCCATTTCACAAAAATTAATTATTCTATTTAAAAACTGAAATTCCCTACATTTTAAAGATGCCGGGATGACAGCCCAGGAACCAGTAGTCCTCTCTTTAAGCCACAGACTGGCCTGAGCATAGGAAAGCATGAGCAGCAGTAATGCAAGTTTCCCCACCAGTATACTCTTCCCCCCCCAATAACTCTATGACTGAGATGGAACAGCAACTTAGTCTCCATGCCTATTCAAGCTTTGGCCTCTCTGCTAAATTGCAGACAAACTTGCCATTCCATGCATTGCAAGGAGGATACCTATCCAAGCAGCAAATCTTGGTCACTACCACCCTCGACCAGGCTCAAACCAGTGACCTAGAGCTGAAAGATTCTGCATCCCATTACTACAGATGGTCCAGAATTGGACCCACTTATCTGAACATTCATTGCCCAACTCCTATCCCCAGATTTAGAGGTTCAGATAGATGGGTACTGAGATCCTAAATCCATACCTGGTTTTTGTTTTGACCAAGCAGTTCCCTGAGCCGTGCAGTCCCCCCAATACATTATTTTATACATCCCCTTGTTTCTTTCTTGTGCAAGAGCATAAACACAAGTGTCTGAATAGCCTTCATTATACCAATTTGTTATTTTTATATTCCTCTACTAAAGCTCTTCATCCATTTCTCCTTTTCAGATTACATAATCCCTTCTTTTAAAATCTCTCCTTGTATAGAAGTTACCGCTTTTGTCTGCTCTGAAAACACACAACCCACTAATCATGGTAATTTCTCTTTGTTGAGTGTTTTCTATTTGTGATGTCTTTTTTAGATAAGGTGACTGAAATTCTCTGAAAAACTAACCAAACATTAGGCCTTTTTATGCAGCTGTATTCAAGTATAATTTTATCCAAAAGATCATAACAATCCATAGAAAATCCAAGCCCTATTCTTATTCAGCAACAAATAACCAATTTGTATATGCTTTCAAAAGATAGTATTTTTCATCTCTTTCTCTTGAATACTGCAGGTGTTCTCTTAATGGCCATCTTGTTTCTGTGCAACTGTACAAAACTGATGTTTAATCAGTGTAAGAAATATGCTATCCAGTACCATGCAATACCAAGACATCTACTCTCTTGTCTAATGTATACTATGTATGTACTGTGACTAATAAACATAGCAGGCTGTATTATGTAAGTAAGGACTGAACATGCTTAATATCCACTTCAATTCAGACTCCCATATGAAATAGGAGAAGCTGAAAGGAATTATTTCCTTTAGTTTAAGAAAAGGAACTTGAACTTGTCCTTAATGTAGAAAGCCACTGGATGACACTGTTGTTCCATAAAATTAAAGTTCAAAAGCAAAGCTGGTACCTTAAACCTCATAACCACCATTGCATCCAGCCCAACATCCACCTCAGGTGGAAGATTTTGGAAAACGGGAGGTAAAGGGATGGGGACCAGGGCCAGGGCATGGAGGGAAGTACTGGAGGAGTCAGAGGTCATGAGAGAATATAGCAAGAGGGCAAAGAGGGGAAGTGTCACAAAGGTTGGTAAAAGCCAGGGAAGGGAGCCGGTGGGAAGAGATGAGAGGGAGAAAAACAAAAAGAAAGAGAAAAATGACCTGAAGATGAAATTGGGAGCTGGAAGAAAAGAAATGGGGTGAGAACAAGAGAAACAAAGAAGGAAATGACTCTAAGGCTAGGATCTTATCTATTCATTTTCCAGCACTTTTTAAATTCTCTGGCAGAAAGAGGAACTTTCATGCCAAATATGATCAACCCAGGCATAGGTGCTGGAACTAGGGGTGCTGCTGCACCCATGGGCGATGGATGGAGCCTCCAGCTCCGCCCCTTCAGCCCACGCCCTCCTCACGGCCAGAGCCACAAGACCCCCTGCATCCCCCGCTCCCGCGGCCAGAGCCCCAAGCCTCCCGCCCCCCAGAGGAACCCCAGGCCGGACTGGCCGAAGCCCCGTGCCTCCCCTGCCCGGAGGAACCCGGGGCTGGCTGCAGCCGTGCCTGCCTCCCCTCCCCAGACCCACCCACTGCCCAGGGGAAAACCATGCAGGTTCTGGACGGCTGAGGAGGCGGCATGTGCTACTCAGCCGCCCGGGACCTTGCATGGGGCATAATAAAGTAATGGCCTATTATACCCGCCGCCCATGGCCGCACCCCCTGGCTTGAAGTGGTTTCCATCATATACAGGGTTTACAGTTTGGTTCAATGTCTCTCAGCATCCCCCACTATACGAACTGTTCCAGCCCCCCTGAAACCAGTGGAAAGGCTGAGTCTTCAGACAGATAACAGCCCACCGTGGGCACATCAGCATTCTCTCCACTCGCCTGCTTTCAATTCAAACACTGCCTCCACCTACAGGGCAAGTACAGTGCCAGTGCACGCACCTCGGCTGCCATGCTCTAAGGCAAGGGTTCTCAAACTATGGGTTGTGACCCCAAAGTGGGTTGTGACCCCATTTTAATGGGGTCGCCCAGGCTGGTGTCAGCCCTGCGCCCCAGCAAGTCTGAAGCCCAAGCCCAAGCCCCGCTGCCCAGGGCTTTGGCTCCCCCGCCTGGGGTGGCAGGGCTCGGGTGGGCTCAGTCTTCGGTTCCCCCCTCCTGGAGTCGTGTAGTCATTTTTGTTGTCAGAAGGGGGTCACACTGCAATGAAGTTTGAGAACTGCTGCTCTAAGGGGACCACTTTTATAGCTCAAGGTAGTTCAGCTTCCCTGATCAACGCAATCCTTGATTTCTCTGTCTGCTAAGACCATCAGTGACACTGCCGACTAGCGCCATTCGAAGTGACCGATCGTTTCGTGATGCAGAGAACTGTCTACCAGGAACGTGCCTAAGCCGACCAGCTCCTTTCATATGTGTCACCAATCAGCCCTCAGATGGTAGCAACTTAGGGCCATCACTGACCTGAGCCAGACCGGAATCTGTGGCTTATCAGTAAAAGATTCTGTAGCCCATTCCAGTCAGAAACACCTGCATAAAACAAACTCTACTTCCATTACATTCCCTTCTAAAAGTAGCTAAAAGAACATCCATACACTAAATTCATAAAATGCATAAAAACAGCTTTCCCTCAGCCACTTTCACAGATTCACAGGATTTAGGACAGAGAGGAAAAACAAATACTTTCTTCCCCTTTTCTTCTGTTTTGCTTTTTTCATTGCAGCAACATCTGCAAATGATACGCAACAGATGCTATCTGCTACTACCTTGTAGTACACACACGTTCAGGGAAGATAATCAGAATGACAAAAAACAGTGTTTCAATGATAGCATCTATCCAAGCTTTTCTAGTGCACCTGTTACCATAGAACCTAGACACTTTCTTCTCCATAGTTCTCTCCTCTTTTTTGGGGCGGGGGGTGTTTATGGACAGGATTTATTTGACAAGGATACATCGTATCTATTCTCCATAACTTTTTATAGTATATTATGAGAAGTGTTTATGAGCATTTCATGTTTAATTAATTATTGCTTATAAAGTTTCAACAGAACCCTAACTATGAAGCTACAAGGGGACTTCCACAATTCAGCTGAACTTCCCCCTCCATAAACTAAATGTGCAGACAGCTCACAGAAAAATTGCAAAGTTATAGGTAGAGACAATCATGCAGGAAGGAACAGAGGAAGAGCTAATGATTTACTACTTCCTTTGGTCTAAAAATGTTACCAGGATACAATAGGGGCAAAGTAATTCAGATGTTGGAGCAAAGTGACCAAAAACAGGAGTAGGAGATGCAATTGTGATCATGTTCACAATAGAAAGATATATTAATCATACAAAAAGTAATGGCGTCAGAATGGACTGGATTAGGTGGGCTGGAACTGCATGGCCTACCATGCATGGCCTCCCCCTATCTGAAAGAGATTTCTGACATTAAGAATTGATATCTGCAATCAGAAATTCTGTAATTATTAACTTGGTTTCAAATATAAAAAGCTAAAGTAAAGTAGACTGCTGAACAAAAATATAGACTGTTTTGTTTTTTGTTGTAGTTGGATCCTATCTCGTTGATCTAAGAAACAATGGCTCCCATAAATCCTGTGATTTTCCAGGCCACTAAAGAAGTTATCAAATTATCAGCTGTCTGGATTTAATGTTTCACATTAGCCCTTTATGAGAACTTGGACCAATCAGATCCTTTTAATCTCTCACTATTATTATTCTAATTGTTTGATGGGGGTCT